AAAGAGCTCCATTCACCCCACCTTTGTGGGTATTTCCCTGTGGGTCAAAGCTTCAGAATCCAATCTTAAAAAAAAAATGGGTCTCACCGTCTGTGTCCCTGAGGAAGCATGGAACCTTTGCCAGGTAGAGGGGTGTGTGTGTGTGTGTGTTGTGTAAGGGGAGGGAGTCCAATCTGGTCAGTTCCCTGGAAGTGGCAGCTGCTGATGGAAATCTGCCCCAGGCCAGTCTGGCTGAACTCTAGTTTGAGTGTGCAGTTTCAAAGTGTTTCCCACTCTGTCCTCCTCCATACTCTAATTGTTAATACTCTAATCTCTAATTGTTTGCAGCTGCCAAGAGTAGCTACTCTGTGACCCACTGGCACCAAGTCCTAACTAAAATCTCACTTTCTGTGTAAAGCCTTTCCCAATCTCTCTTCATTTTCGTGCCTTCCCTTTCTTGATGATTTCCTGTTTATCCTGAATCTGTCTTGTTCCTGTAGATGTTTACGTGTTGTCTCCTCCATTAGACTGTAAGCTCCTTCCGGGCATCGGCTGAAGTTGTGCCCCACTCTGTTACCCTAATGCTTAGTACAATGCTTACCATGTAGTTGCTTAATGAATGTTTACTGACTAAATGATTGACAGCCACGAATTTTCTGAACACCCTTAAATATTCCCAAAGGGCTAATCCTGGTGAAGGAAAATGGAGTGGGCAAAGGAAGGGAGAAGGATAAAAGAAAGGAAGAGAAGGAAGAGAAAGAGAAACATGAGAGGTGGAATGAGGAGGAGGAGAGAAAGGAGGAAGAAAGGGTAGGGGCATTTGATGCAATCCACATAGTTCATTTCACTGGGAATCAGTGATTTCAATCTGTAGGCAGGGTGCAAAAGGACTGAGGGAAGGTCGTCACATGACAGCAATGCCTGAAAGAGCTACTCAGCCTTTTTCAAGCCCAGGATTCTTCAGCTTTCTCTCAAAAGGAAACAAAATGCCAATGTCCTTCATAGAAAGGATATTAACAATGCCGATGTTAAGGTTACTATGACTCAATATAAGTTTTTTTAAAAAATAATTATGTGAGATATTCAGCCTTAAGAAAAACCTGTTTTTCCAACCAAACTCATTTATGTACTATTCTCTGAACTCAGTAATCCACCCCCCACCATCCCTCCATGCTTTTGCATCAGGTGCCCCTCATGCCTGGCAGATCCTCACTCCTTACCTCCAGCAGTTTGAATCCTAAGCTTCCTCCTACTGGAACCCTTTCCTACTCTCCCAAATTACTTGGTACTCTTTCCCTAATTGAATGATTGAATATATATGTATCTATTTATGTGACATATAACTGTGGTAGAATGTAAGCTCGCTGAGGACAAGGACTGCTTTTTTTTTCTTTGTCTTGGTATCTCCTCCATCATACAGCCAGCAGAGTGGATAGAGAGCTGGCCTTGGAGCTAGGAAGACGTGGGTTTAAGTCTCACCACTGGCACATGACCCTGGGCAATGCTTTTAGCATTACACCCAGTTGAAGAGAAGGTGTGCCAGTGGAGGGAGTATCCTTAAGTGGGAGTCCACTATACTAAGGAAATCACAGGTTCATTCTCTCTCCCTATTTGTTTCCTGAGTGCCTAGCACATAATAAGATGTGTGTGTGTGTGTGAGCATAATGGGATTTAAGAAAAAACACACATTTTGGCTGGATTAGACTCTGAAAGGCAACAGACCTGGTTCCCACATGGGCAAAAGTTTGTTCATTCTACTTTCCTTTCCACTAGAGCACATGGGTCAGGTCATTTGAACACAAGTTGGCTGGTCTGTCAGGCAATTTTCCCAATATGGGTCATGATGTCAATATTTTTAAAAACTTGAAGGCAATATTTACACATGGACAATTCCAGCTTCTGCCCTGGCCTGAAATATCCATGGGAAAGAATGTATAGTCCATGCTGGGACCTGTGAGGAATCTAGACCGTTGATTCTCAACAAAAACCTATCATAAATATGTTCCTGGTGTGTCTCAGTGTCCTGACAGTCTTTGTGATCTGTCCACTGTCAGTTTGGGACCAGCAAGTATGAAGATGGCAGTGACTATGATAGAATAAGTAGGGTGGAGAGTTAATGTGTATGTGTGGGCGTGTGCAAATATGCCGAGAGGAACATACATGTGTATACATATACATACAACATATACATAAATATAATATATATTATATAAATACTCATACAAATAAAACAATAAACTCTTTTATTGAGCTTTTAAAGCCCCATACAACCTGGCCCTAACCCACCTTTCTGGTCTCTTTAGACATTACTATATTCCTCCCACTCCTGTGTTTTGTGATGCAGCTGGGCTGGCTTTCATTCTGTTTTTCACATTGTTCCATCTCTCATCCTGTGACTTTTCTCTGGCAGTTCCCTCATGCCTGGAATGTGCTTCTTCTTCAACCTCTGCCTCCTAAAGTCCTTCTCTTCCTGGAAAATGAAGCCTGGCCTGAGCCCTCTAGTGCCCTCCCTCCAAACTACCTTGTATCTCACTACTGTGTGTGTGTGGGTAGATAGATGCATGTGTGTGTGTGTGTGTGTGTGTGTGTGTGTCCACATAAAGTAGGTAATTACAATATATATGTGCACGTGCATTTGACTCTATTTATACTGTATATGTTTTATATGTAGTTGTCTTCCTCATTAGAATGCAAACTCATTGGAACATTACAAAAAGCAAAATGGATAATTTTGATTACATTAAATTGAAAAATTTTTGCACAAACAAAGCCAATGCAACTAAGATTAGAAGGAAGGCAGAAAATTGGGAAAGAATTTTTACAACCAGTCTCTCTGATAAGGGCCTGATTTCTAAAATATAGAGAATTAAGCCAAATTTATAAGAATACAAGCCATTCCCCAATTGATAAATGGTCAAAGGATATGAACAGACAGTTCTCATATGAAGAAATTAAAGCCATCTATACTCATATGAAAAAATGCTCTAAATCATCATTGATTAGAGAAATGCAAATCAAAACAACTCTGAGGTACCACATCACACCTATCAGATTGGCCAACATGACAAAACAGGAAAATGATAAATGTTGGAGAAGATGTGGGAAAATTGGAACACTAATGCATTGTTGGTGGAGTTGTGAAATGATCCAACCATTTTGGAGAACAATTTGGAACTATGCCCAAAGGGCTATAAAAATGTGCATACCCTTTGACCCAGCAATAGTGCTTCTAGGGCTATATCCCAAAGAGATCATACAAATGGGAAAAGGACCCACATATACAAAAATATTCATAGCAGCTCTTTTTGTGGTGGCAAAGAATTGGAAATCGAGAGGATGTCCATCAATTGGGGAATGGCTGAGCAAGTTGTAGTATATGAATGTAATGGAATACTATTGTGCTATAAGAAATGATGAACAGGCTGACTTCAGAAAAACCTGGAAAGACTTATATGGTCTGATGCTGAGTGAAGTGAGCAGAACCAAGAGAACATTGTACACAATAACAGCCATGTTGTTCGATGACTAATATTGATAAACTTAACCCTTCCCAGCAATACAAGGATCTAAGATATCTCCAGAGGCCTCATGATGGAAAATGGTATCCACATCCAAAGAAAGAACTATGGAAGTTGAATTGCTATTTTTTTCTCTTCTGTTGAGTTTTGTTTCCTCTTTCTGGTGGTCCTCCTATTGGCTTTAATTTTTACTTACAATATCACTAATGTGAAAATATGTTTAATAGGAATGTACAGCCTATATCAGACTGTGTACTGTCTTGGGGAGGAAGGGGGAGAAAAATTTTAAACTCAAAAGCATATGGAAGTGATTATTGATAAATCAAAATTAAAAATTAAATTAAATTAAATTAAATTAAATTAAATTAAATTAAATTAAATTAAATTAAATTTAAAAGAAGAATGTAAACTCATTTCCAATAGGGATTATTTCAACCTTTGTACTTGTGTCCACAGCACCTAGCATAGAGCTTGGCACATAGTAGGTGCTTAATAAATACCTACTGATTGATTGTGTGTGTGTGCGTTGTACTGCACTAAGACTTTTGGGGCACCTTATATACATATATTTATGTACAAACATATAATAAATATATTAAATAAATAAATATAAATATAAATATAAATACACACACAAATATATATATATATATATATACACACACACACACACACATACATATCCATATGTATACAAGGTGTTCCAAATCTTACTGCAGTTTTAAGCTATTAAAGCTTAATTAATGCAGTGGGAGCACTTGTGTGCATGTGTGTGTGTGTGTGTGTGTGTGTGTGTGTGTATGTAAGTGCAACTACATGAGCATTAGATGTTGAAGGGAAAAGTAAGTTAGGGGTAGAGATGGACAAACCAGTGGTGGGGAGGGGAGTAGAATGACATTCTTTAAATCCTAAGGTTTGCAAAGTCCTCTATCTACGTTCTCTCATTTGGTCTTCACAATAATCCCCTGACGTATGAGCTATTATTATTCCCATTGAACAGGTGAAGAAACTGAGGCTCAGAGAAGTAGTCACTTGCCCAAAGTTGTACCAATAAGTGTCTGTGGTGGGTTTAAGCCCTAGGTCTTTTTGACTTCAGGTCTTTCGACTGGAGCACACTGTCTCTCAATGGCTGGGAAATACCATCTAATTGGTACCAGGGGACTATGAAGCTGGGGCCTGGATTCCAGGAGCTTCACTAATTTTCAGGGCTTATCTCAAGTTCAAGGACTTTCACCAGAAGCCAGATCTCAATGTAACAGCCTGAAAGGACCTAGCTTGGCACACTTGAATCCTCAAAGTCACACATTTATTATAGTGAAAAGTTAAAACCAAACAGAACAAAACAAATGTTTTCCCCAGGCATTCTCCCCTCCCCAGACCAAGCTTTCCTCCCACTGAGCCCCAAATTCCTCAGGGCAGAAAATACACTTTGACCCCAGGTAAGCTGCCTCCACAAATCCTTCCTCACCCCCCACCCCAAACCAAGGGGAGGTCATACTTTACCAGAGTTGTGAAGATAAAGTGGTAGTACTCAGTCATCATCCCCATCGCCATGGCCTTTGGGAGGGAAGAAAGCAGAGTTACCATCAGTCCACTATGGCCTGGTCCTAAGAAGCTGGACATCACCTCTTCCATACCAGTGCCCACATCTTCCTCCCTCAACCTCCATTATACATATAGGATATTAGAACTCCATTAATCTTTTTTCTTTAAAAGAGAGACCACTCAGTTAATTCCATAATAAAACCAATTTAGAAATTTATTTCAAAGTTACAATTTTTTAAAAAGTAAACCAAATTATATTCCTCCCTCTAACGCTAGGATAACACATTCCCATTCCAAAAGTATGTATGTAGGTCTTCATCGCAGACATGGAGGAAACCAGTGTGTGTATGAGGGATGGGGTAAAGCAGGAAGAATAGGTCAAGCCATTGCCTTTCAATTGTATCAAATTATAGTCCTAACACTGAGGAGGGTCTTTCTTGAGACATCCACGTTCTGTTGCTCAGCCTCACTTGTGATGGAAGTTACTCATGAGTAACATGGCTAGATGACCAATGACAGGGTGTAGTCTGGAGCTCCCAATAAGTAGTATTTTCCTCTGGTCACAAAATAAGCCCATACAAGGATCTTCTGTTTCATGAATATTATAACATATGAGCAATGTAACATATAAGGTATGAGCAGTGCTATAACATGTAATCAGAACATGGCAGACATCAGGTGAGTAGGTTACCATCCTCTCCTAACATCTCGTAGGGGAAGATGGTCTCCCAGCCTTTCATTGGGGTCCTCACTGCTGTAAGGGCTTACTCTGGAGTTGCTCCAGAACATAATGCCCTAGCCTTGGGCATGTCACCTTATGCTGCTGATCTGCCTGGCTCACTTTTGGCAGGAGTTCTAGAATTACCTGCCTTGATTTTGGCAGACTGACCCACTGACCCACTGAGGATAACCCAATGGGATAGGGGCAACAAGTTGTCAGACATGTGATCTCTTCATTTTATCAGGAAAGTAGCAGCAGATATTATTTTCCTCCCTAACTCTTCACTTTGGCAGTCTCCCACTTTGTTTTTACAAGATGTTAGAATACCATAATTTCAAGAAAAAAAAATAGGCCACCCATTTAAACAATTTTGAATGTATTCTTCCTCCTTCCAACCAGTTAATTTGATTCAATAAACAATTATTAAGACCTTACTATGTGCCAGGCACTATGCTAAGTACTGGGGATATAAAAAAGGGCAAGAGATAGTCTCTATCCTCAAGGAGCTTGAAATCTAATGGGGGAGAAAACATACGAACAAATAAATACAAAGCAAGCTATATAGAGGATAAATAGGAAATCATCAACAGAGAAGAGAGTTGGCCACCGATCCATCCTCACTACTTAGGAGCTGGGGACTGGATTTCAGAATACCTGGGCTCTTGTCCCTTGCTTTATTACTTGCTAGCTGGGTGGCCTTAAACAAGGCATTTCCCCTCTAAGTTTCCAGTTCTCTGTAAAATGTGATGGGATTCAATCGTTGAGCCATAGAGTTGGTCCAAGGAGTCCATATCAAATCAGGCATTATCTCAATCAATCAACAGATACCAATAGTACAAATGCATTATGTAGGGGGCACAGAAATTAGGAAGTAGAATAGGAAGTCTCTGCTCAAAAAGGTTAGAAACCACTAGACTGTGACTTGTAATACTTGTTAAGGCCCTAGTCATCAATCTACAATATTGTGAATACCAAGATACGTGCATAGCTAATTGAATTTTCCCCTAAACTTAATGAATTGTCCTCTTAAGCTGAGGCACCCAGAACTGGAGTGTAGGAAGGAAATTAATAATCCATCAGTAATTATTTATTAAGAGCCTACTATGTTTCAGGCACTGTACTAAGTGCTGGGGATATAAAAAGAGGCAAAAGACAGTCTCTACCACGAAGGAGCTTGCAATCTAATGGCAGAGAAAGATGGAGAACACCCAGATGAGTGGCCATGATGGATGGTGAGGGCTTTGATTCCGTGTCATGTAAGGATCAGTTGAAGGAGCCTGGAGTATGTAGTCTAGAGAAGACTCGGAGAGGTCATGATGGCTGTTTTGGGGAACTTACAAAGCTATCACATGGAGGAAGGATTTGAATGATTCTGTTTTGGATCATGTGACAAGAAAGATCATGGAGCAATTACCTTCCCCAACAAGCAACTCAAAAACCTCAGAAAAAAAAAAGAATTGTGCCCTAGATATAATGGAATTACAATGGAATATACAAGATAAGAAGGCATAACATTGCATAAGGTTAAAATCTCATTTAAGGGTGGGGAGTAATTATGTCAATCAACGAATCATTCCATTCCACTCTAAGCAACTAGTTAACCAAGTGAGAATGTCACTGTTGAATCTGTCATTAAACCAAGGGCATTAGGCCAGGTGAAAACAACCTAGTCAATAAGTTTGGAAGCAGAAAAGGTCACTTAGTGAAGTGGTATGACACTTCAAAATAGGTGTATTTGTATTGGTTGTGGAGATTCAATCATGTCTTATGGATCTTTTATAAAACAGCAAATTAGTCCAGATCCCAAGCATTGCAGTGTCTGGCCTTCAAGTGGTGGAAGCCATTCTGACCAAACCTCTGACATAAAATCACTTGGGGAAGGGAGAAGGAAAGCATTTGGACTCCTTCTCCCTTCTTGATCAAAGACTTCATAAATCTTGGAAGGTTGAAAGAGCTAGACTTCTCACTGGCATCTTAGCAGTCAGTCATCCCTGGGACATCAGTCTGTATCCCTGGAACAGATGCTTAGGTAACTGAAGGAATACTGGGGAAAGTCAGTTTTAGAACTATAAGGACCTAGCAGAAATTTACACAATGACTCAAGGGAATTTCATGAAGGCCCTATGAAGGGGTGAAAAAGACCTCAACAAAAGAACCTCCAAAAGGTGTGTTAGCCTCTTTGCCAGAAACGCTCCAAGCTTGAGCCTGTTTTCCTTTGGTATCTGAATATACTTGTGGGAAAGTGTGCCCCTAGTTTGGGGGGATATTTTGTAGCAATTGTTCTAATTATACCCCCTTAGTAAACAGCCATTTCTAAAAACTAATTGTGTCTGACTAATTGATATCAATTGATAATCAATGGAGGGAAGAACACTGGTGAGGGCTCATAAGGTTAGCAACAGCCACCTTCTGGGGACTCAACCTACTAGTCTGTATGTGAGTTGGAAGAGTGAGCCCAGAGTCTGTACTACACTTATGAAATAACATCAGAGAACTAGTTTTGTTCTGTTTGGCCCCAGAGGGTAGAATCAGGAGCAACTGACAGAATCTCCAAGAGTTCAATCTTAAGATTGATATAGAAAAAAAATCTTAAGGGGCAGCTAGGTGGCGCAGTGCATAGAGCACCGGCCCTGAAGTCAGGAGGACCTGAGTTCAAATCTGGTCTCAGACCAGACACTTGACATTCACTAGCTGTGTGACCCTGGGCAAGTCACTTAGCCCCAATTGCCTAAAAATAAATAAACAAACAAATAAATAAATAAATAAATGTATATATATATATATATATATATATATATATATATATATATATATATATATATATCAAAAGAAAAAAAAAGAAAAAAAATCCTAAAACTGACAGTTCTCTCAAAGTAGAATAGGCTGTCTTTGGAGGCAGTAGGTTTACCCCATCAATGGTAGCCTTCAAGCAGATGCTGGAAGACCACTTGATATGTGAAATTTGTTGTTGTTGAGTCATTTTCAGTTGTGTCTAACTTTTCATGACTCCCTCCATGTAAGGTTTTCTCAGCAGAGATACTGGAGTGGTTTGTCATTTACTTCTCCAGCTCATTTTATGGATGAGGAAACTGAGACAAACAGGGTTAAGTAACTTGACCAGGGTCCCATAGCTAGTAAATATCTAGTGCCAGATTTGAACTCAGGAAGATGAATCTTCCTAACTCTAGGCTTGGCACTCTATCCACTGTGCCACCCAGCTGCCCTGAAACAGGTGAAAATTAGTTAAAATAGGAATTATTTTTCATATGTGACTTATAGTAGATGTCTATTGAAGTCACTCCCAGCCCTGAAAGTCTGTGATGTTTTTGGCTAATAACAATTAATTTCACTAAATATAACACTTCAGGCCTTCAAAGATGTGTGGAAGCTGTCCACGTACAGAGAATGTAGTCATTCCATGATTTAATTTACATGAGGTTGAAAACTTCATCTCTTTTTAGCCAACCTTCTGGTAATGAGCCTCTTTCAACTTAGCTAAGCTGGTTCTTGGATGACAGAAGCACAGTGTGTTTTCTCGGGCCTTTTCAAGTTGGAGGAACTGACTAAATCTTTCAGTCCCCTTTGATAATATTTGAGTGCCTGGGGTCACCTCCATCTCCAGGTGAGTCATCAAAGAAGGATTTCAGTGGAGGAATCAAGGAATCTTAGAGATGGAAGGGCCCTCAAAGGCCATCTGGTTCAACCTGTACCTGAACAGGAATCCCCTCTACAACTTACCTTATGTGGTCAATGAGTATTTTAAATTCACACAACAGTTTCTTCCAAAACTCTTTGTAAGATAGGGAATAGAGGTATTATTATCCTATTTTATATATGGATAAACTGAGCCCCAGGTAGAGGACATGACTTTATTGTTGTTACATTGCCATTAAGCAGGAGATTTAAGGCTTGAACCCAGGTCTTCTCTCAGAGTGGGAATAGCCCTCAGAGGATATCTGGTTCAACTGACAACCAAACCAGAAACCTTTTATAATATGCCAAAGAAGTGGTGATGTGGCCTCTTTTTTTGGAATACTTTCAGCAAGGGGGAGTACACTACCCTTCCACTTGGGGTGGCTCTAATTGTTAGGAGGTTTTTCCTTACATCAAATTGGAATCTGTCTCCCTGCATCTTCCACCTACTGCTAAGCCTCTCAAAACTCCAAGTTCTGCCCTCTAGGGCAAAGGAGAATAAGTTCAACTCTTTTTTCATGTAGCAATCCTTCCAATAGTCAAAGAGAGCCATTATGTTCCCCTTTAACTCACCTGTTCTCCAGGTAAAATATTCCCA